AGAGTCACTGTATATACTACCCTCCGTGTTGGTCGTATCAGGCCCACCGCCAGCCCCGGTGCCACAGTGAGAATGCCCTTGGGACATTGGTGGTGGGAGGGTTGAGACTTCCTCCTCCTGATCGCCCTCTTCTACCACGTCCAGTTGGGATTCACAGTTTAGGGGCGGCAGCAGGTAGCGCCGTTCTAGATGGGCCTCGAGGTCACGTAGTCGATCACGCGCGACGTCTAGTGGCCACTGCTCAAAACGGGACCTCTTTGGTGTGTTTCGAGGAATCAGATGTATGGAGTCGTCATCCATTGCCTTGATTGGAGCCTTAAAAAGTAAGCGAAAGGTATAAAGTTTTCACGAATTGAGGTGAATGTTCGCATCCCAGGAACGTGAATATTTTGAGGAGAAGAGGAATTTTCGAACACTGAATATTTTGAGAAAATTCCTCTTCTTCTCAAGGTATAAAGTTTGTCTGTACACGCCAAGGAAGCAATGGCCGAAGGCCTTTATCTAATTCCGCCAGCGGACAGCTAAAATTCCAGCAGAAAATCCAGAAATTTCTAGTCTTCGGTACAAGACTCGTGGCAGAACGCGATGCCCTAGAATAGTGCAACGGAGAAATAATGTATTTGGACATGTATATGCAGTTGGGATATGCAACCAACAGCTTATATGCAGACTACTGTTACCTATGTTTCCGGTCATGCTAATATCATGCCAGGCAACGGCTGAAGGCACGATAGGGCCTCCGCATCTGTCCAAATTAGGCAGAGAAGACGAGTAAGCAATGTTAACCCAAAATGGAAGACTGGGCTCCACAAAGGAATTGTGACCGTTGGGAACAATCTACCGGTAGGTGAAAGGAACGTCAATGAGTTCGCCGATTTCGAAACTCCTAGCCGAGACAGCCCTTTGGCGAGCGAAGTAGTTGATGTTTGAAAACAACAGACCGAAATTGCGGCCTTTGCATTTAAATACTACCTATCTGATACTACTACTCGTGATTTGCGAGTAGCCATATTTTAAAGATCATATTTTGTTACTATTTGACTACCTAAAAACTCTGGTGTCTTCCCGGCGCACGTTATTAACGTAATTTTTAATTTTTTCTTTGTATCCATATATTCCCTATCATCTTTTACCAACGGGGAGTTCAGAGGCGTTCGCTTATCTTTCCTTCAATAAACTGATACTGATACTGATGTAATCATCGAATAAAATTGAATGCCTGCATTAAAAAAAAACAACTTGACGCGGTCTTCCCGGGCCAAAAATTGACGTTGGAGGACGAAGGAAACGTCTTACCTCTCCCTACAGTCTAAAAAGTAGTGTTCAAGAGAGCAAAACACGCGACACAAGTACTTAACTTCAATGGAAACCGCCCACCCACTCAACTACAGACTAGTAAGGGTGCTCTGTAGGGGTGTTGAGAGGCACTGCGCTAAACCCAAAGGAAGGCTCGCTGAATGACAATACCTTTAACTATTGTGCTCCGAACGCATTAATACCCGCGAAAATTTGTTAACCGACGCGTACGCAAACGTAAATGAAGACGAAACCACGTAGACTTCAAATTTTGGCGCAAGCTACCGTACGTCAAGAACTTCTTTGAGGCCATCAACCATCTTTTCACACCAATCGGAATTGGAGTTGAATACAGACCGAAGCAACAATCAGGTGCGGAGTAAAGAGGACGAAAATCGGTTGCCAAGGCAGGAAACATCTGGAGCCGTTAGCTGCATCTGCTGCAGTTGCGGGCAAAGCAACTACGTCTGAGAAAAGAGGATTGCTCTGGAAGTGAATGAATAAACATGCAGCAAAAGCGAGAGGTAATGACGTCAACTCTCAATTTGTAGCGCATTCGTCGAGATCCACCTACACCGTAAAGTTCATCAAAGCTGACATTTTTGTAAGAGGCGACCACCTTTTGAGTCATGGTTTTCCAACTCGATGATCCCCGCCCTTTGCCTTCCATATTGAGCTCTATAACCTTAACTGAATGAAGGAATTAATAAGGGGAAAAACGCGAGTTAACACTGCTTCTATTGACAGTATCGGCGAGCCAAATGGTCGATCACCCAACAAGGGGGATGGAATTGGGACCATCAAAGACTTGAGTGCGTACAGCCAGGCTATCAACGCACTAAGTACAACTGCCTACGGCGAAAGCGGGAACTGATAATTTCAGGAGATGGGATAGCAAATGCAACCTTTATCGGTTACCATATCTGATGATGATGTGTTTGAGCGTGTCCTAAAAAGGCACGTTGACCGCGACTTCAAAGGGCTGGTGTCCTTTTAAATAAAAATGACGATAAATGTTGCTGACAAAGATAAAGGAAACTGCAGTACTTAGTTCCGATTTATTTGCCTGCTTCAATCCGAACCCCAGAACGGGAAAACCTATGATTCGAACCCGTTTCTCTGGGGAAGCGAGTCAGACGCACTACTAGTTGAGTCATGGTTTCGTGCTGCCGACTGAAACGAGGCGAATTCCGGGGCAGATACGAACGAAGTTTATACACCTGGCTACAGTTAAAGACGGAAAACGGACGTTCACTTTTTTTCAGGATTCCTAGTTTGGAATACGCAAACAGAGTTGCAATCGGACCAGTACAGTGAACGTCACTCCCACATGAATAAAGTAATCGGCCTTCACTGGGTCGGAAAATTATTCAATCTCCGAATTATCAATTAATTATTTTAACCTACCTGCCAGCCCTTGACCTGGAGACTTGCCGAGAGGGCACGATCCACAAGGCCTTCAATCCTTTCTAAGCATTGACATTCTTCCAGAAACTCTTGGTCACATGAGTCCACGTCTGCCACTCCGACCCGTTGCTCGATGTTGCGTGCTGTTGCAGGATTCGATGGAATTGAAGTAATGAACGCATCATATATCCCATCTTCTGGCGTCGATGATGCTGCGAGTACGCTTTGGGGAACAATACTGTAATTCTGTGGGTTGTTCGATTGCTGCCGAAGAGAGA